ATCAACTCACCCCGGTTTACGGTAACATCTGAAAGTTAGGGCCACTATGGTCATGGCCGAAATTTCTGCTCTCAGTCCAGGTGTACAGAGGTCTATGGTCCAATGCAAAGATCTTCATCTTCATCCAAGTGGTAAAACATCCTTAACAATAGGAATTGATGAAGCCTCATCAAAGTGTTAGAACAAAATGTAATGCATCAGTGGCAGCAAGTTTGCATGCGGAGACCGGAGAGCACAACCTTGCTCAATGCGATGAACCTTGCTCAATGCGATGGCCGTCTAGAGGGATTAGTCCCGCGGGGAGCATAAGAAACCAATAAAACGCAGAAAATGGCCGCTAGCGAAGCCTCAGCTAAATTCCTAAATTTGCCTACAAAGGCAAAGACCCCTTTCAAACACTTGAAACTTAAAAAAGAAAACACTGGTGGCAGCCGTGAAGCCAAGGCCCTCCAGACTGCAAAACGCGGCAGATTTCGACGAGATCTCGGGCGTGCACGGTCTCCGCTAGCCTTACTCAGGCGTGCATTAACAAATCTCAGGTGTGCAACGCGCGGCCCAAGAGCGCGGGCGTGCATTGACGAATCGCGGCGTCCACGCCTGGAGAGCTACCACTCGAAGCTTGCTAATGCTATCTCTATGAATGCAAAATATGCGGAAGGACGTTGTTCATTGGCCCTAATACCTACCGAACTCTTGTGAGAGCGTTATTCATTGGGAGCAAAAGTACGACAGTTCAGTAGAGCATTCATTGCCATGAATTCCGGCGTTTTCAGTGACTTACGTGCGCGGGCAGGTGGGGGGGGGGGGGAGGGGGTCGGACCTCCCTCCGGCCATTCGGTGAATCGGTATAGCCTCCAGAAAAAAACAAGTGTATCGTTCGCGACGAAAAAAAAAACAATAGTCCACTCCACTGGTACCCAATTTTAAGGCCTGGTAGATTTTAAGCCTTCCAGGTCAGTCAATAGCCTTAATGTCAGGAAAATCGAAGCCAGCAAGAACTCCCTAAAGTGAGCTTTCTCAGGAGAGTTTGGGGTCTTGATTCTAAATTTCACACTAGCTTTGTTTCATAATGATGTCTTCACACATTTGGGGTGGGTCAAGTCATTTCAGGTCAATCACCATGTGTCTCATGCTCAGTGGCGCAGCCAGAACTCTGGCGACGGGGGTGAGAGACGTTTGCGATGGGCCCCCCAGCAAAGTGGGCCCCCCTCAACCTAATGGGGGCCCCTTACCAATAACGAAAGGTCAGATCATTGTCCTGATCATTACCAGCCAAATCGGGGAAAAGGACAAATATCTCTTGATCTGAAGAGGCACGTAAAAAACAACAGCATATTTACAGAAACACGACCATTCTGCCCATATTTGATGGACAGCGTGCAATTGATGGCCAGCGGCCACTCAAATGGTCGGGCTAGGTCAAAAAGCTTTTAAAAAAAGCTCAACACCAGTTTTTCGACTATTACTTTTGATATAGGAGACGAGGTAGAGTAATGAAATTGTCTTGAAGGTGTTAATCATCCATACGGATCAGTTGATGACCATCATGAACTTCTCAAGTAAGGGCATGACCTTGATCTGCGGTCACATTTTGAAGTTGAACTTTTTATGTGAAATTATAGGTGTTAACATTCGATGCATGTTAACGAGAGAATGATGAATGATGTACGGTTATTTGTAAAAATATAAAAACAATAATTTTTTTCGTCGTAATCCTGTCTTTGTGTTTATTATAATTTTATCATAATTTCATCTTCAATGACCTCAGCGATGACCTAATCGTAAAATGACCTCTGCGATTCTGAAGCATCCTACAGCTATCTGTTGCTTTTCTCGTCTTTCTAGCCTTCTTAAATTATGATCTGGTTTGGCCGATACGCCCCCCCCCCCCCATGGCTGATTGCACGCGTTAGAGAGCTATCGAAACCACTTTCAGCGCGCTATAGCTTTATATGTCCTCGAGTGTCGAAATAGGCGAAGCTTTTCCTTCGATGAACATGATGACGTGGGCTTTGGTCTGAAGTGCAACATGACTGAAGTAATTTCTCCATGATTTTCGACGCTCTTTAGAAAGCCGCCTACCGCCGCACTTGTCGCTACGTGACCCTGGAGTCAGGTTAGAAGGGAATATTCAAACACCCCTCAGGGCCGTAAAACTGAAAAGCCTGGGGCCCTGCTCTGCGGGGCGCGGTCGAGCTAGGCTAGAGCCAGTTCGGGATGTTTACAAGCCCACGTAAAGCCCTGAAGAATCTGCATAGAGCACAGGCCTTCCAAGACTTGGGGGTTTAGATATCAACAATCGACATGAGTCTTTTGAGACCTGCGTGGTGGCTATCAGAGGTCGATGGGCCCCTCAAAAGCCGGTGCAGGAGCCTCAGGTGTCAGTAGTTTGGAGCCACCATGGACCGGTGTGGGGTCCTGATGAATACCTAGGCGTCAAACCCCTAGACGTCAGGGTGGGGCCGGGCGGTGAGGCAGGCACAGGCCTGAAGAGAAGAGGAATTTTCAGATGTCGGCTTGGCATCTTAAGGGCCCTGCATGGCTTCCTCAGAGGCTGACATATCGTACTGCGGGACCTCCATGAGCCTCAAAAACCTCTATGGGCCCCCTCACGCTTGGGGTAGGCTTCCTGAAGCATAAAATCTCTGAGTCTTGAGATGGGCCCATTAGACATGAACTGGGCCATCAATATACATGTGGTGAGTTGACCTATATCAAACATGATATCGGCTCAATCAGGATTGGGATAGGCCCTCTCAGACCCAGACCAGGCACGGAGTACGGACTACGGATCCTCCCACACATAGGATGATCCTTTCATTCCTGGGATGAGTCTTCTCAGGCCTGAACTGGGCCCTCTCAGACCTGAAATGGGCCCCTCTCAGGTCTGAAGTGGGCCCTCTCAGGCCTCAACTAGGTCCTCTAGGGCCTGAAATGGGCCCTCTCAGGCCTGACATTAGCCCTCTCAGACCTGAAATAGGCCCCTCTCAGGCCTCAAATAGGACCTCAAGGGCCTGAAATGGGCCCACTCAGGCCTGACATTAGCCCTCTCAGACCTGAAATGGGCCCCCTCAGCCCGGAAATGGTCCCTTTCATGTCGAAAAAGGGCCCCCTCATACCGTAACTGGGCCCTCTCAGGTCTGAAATGGTGCCTCTTATGCCTGAAATGGACCCCTCTCAGGCCTCAAACGGGCCCTCTCTGGCCTCAAACGGGCCCTCTTTGGCCTCAAACGGGCCCTCTCTGGCCTCAAACAGGCCCTCTAGGGCATGAAATGGGCCCTCTCAAGCTTGAAATGGGCCCCCTCAGGCCTGAAATGGGCCCCTATCAGGCCTGAAATGGGCCCCTCCCAGGCCTGAAATGGGCCCCTCTCAGGCCTGAAATGGGCCCTATCAGGCCTCAAACATGCCCTCTAGGGCCTGAAATGGACCCTCACAGGTATCAAATGGGCCCTCTCAGGCCTGAAATGGGCCCCTCTCAAGCCTCAAACAGGCCCTCTATGGCCTGAAATGGGCCCTCTCAAGCTTCAACTGGGCCCCTTCAGGCCTGAAATGGGCCCTCACAGACCTGAAATGGCCCTCTCATGCCATGGAATGGGCCCTCCTAGGCCTTGGATTAGTTCAATCGGGCCTTGGATGTACCACCTTAAATCATAAAATGGGACTATAAATCCTAAAGGGGAGGGCTATCAGGCCTGAAAACTGTTTTTTCAGTCCTATGACGGACCTTGACATTAGTGATAAGAAAATTGTCAGGCTGCATAACGTTACAGTTCGAATCGACGGTGGGCCCCTAGGATAAGAGACGGGGGTGAGATCTCACCCCTTTCACCCCCCCCCCCCCTGGCTGCGCCACTGCTCATGCTATCAGTTGTTTGTGGTCAGTATCACCAATGACACCTCAGTCACATTAAGGCTCTTAAAGTAGTTTCCAGATACACAAATCAGTGCTTAATTTGTTACCCAGCTCCAACACTACCCTGCTAATTTTTAAAATATAGAGTCAACTGAGGTCATCAACTGAGTCCATCAGGTTGATCAACTGAGTCCAACCCACCCCTCACCCTCTGATCTGAGTGTGAGCAGCAAGGGTTAAATTATCTTAAAGACTTCACTGAGTTTGAATACGTCTCTTGCCAGACCTTTCCAATGTCACTGAGCAGCTTAATGCTCAATTTTGTTGTGGTTGTGGCTGCATTGGGTATGCAAGCTTCAGCTTGAAATGCCACATGCCAGGCATGCAATTACAGACACCGGCATGCCTTCCTACCTGTCAGGGGCCAGGCATACACTCCTATCATACTAGGTGCACCTCAGGTGTTGACATGTCACACTTTGCAGCCTGGGTGGCCCTCTCCTAAAACTTCATGATCATGGCAGTGGTACTGCAGTTGGCCATGAAGGCAGTGGTTGATTCAGCAGAGGGACTTCAGTAAAAACTGGATTGCGTCAGCTGGCTGGCCAGCTGGCGACAAACGATAGGTATTTAAATATAGATATAAGCGAGGTAGTAGGATGGACATAAATATTCCAAATGGCTTTAAATGAAAAATTGATAGGTAAATATTTATTATTTTATATCTAGCATTGATATGTAACTAAGAAGCTCTGCTAGCGCCGTCATACGGCGCTAGCTGGCAAATTATCTAGTTAATACCATACCATGATACCATGGCCCCAGCAGAGGAGCTTACCTTTGATTTACTTTACTTTTTCATTTACTTCATAGCATAGGTACTTTACCAGTTCACTTTTGACTTTGTTAATCCCAGCAGTATGTACCTATCTTGTTTTGTCTATATCTTTGATAATTGACACTTGACAGTGAACAGGCACTTTGATTAAAATCAAAATACAGGTAGGACTAAAATGGTACCGGTAAAATGGGGAATCACTTCAGGAGGAATTTACAGAAGACAAACTTCAACGAAAACAAATTGAAATAGCATATAAGGCATAACGTAATTCAACATAGTTACAGAAAAAAATGACAGGACACTCACCACCAAAGCTGACCGCCGGCCACACGCCCTAAACGCCAGCAACAACAACTATCTACAACAGTGACCGCAGTCTGTCTCACTCAAGAAGGAGAAAGTGGTCCTCTAGCTTTCGTCGCTCCTGCGTCATAGACACAACAGCAGCAAAAGTCAAACAATTTGTTCGAAAAATCGTTTAGAACGAGCAAAAGGAGCTGTTAACAAATCAACAACCTCCACATATCAAAGCATGAAATATGAAGCACATATGGACCAATCAGAGATCAAGCTTTCGAAGACATTGAACACAATATTTGACACTGATGAAGGTCACCCCAAGAAGTCTACATTAGTATCATATTATTTTCATTTTTTCATCTAAAACATTGCAATTTCTATCCCAAGTGAAATATTCATGCCAAGTTTTATTAAATTAAGACCATTCATGGCTCATTTTGCAAATTTTTATGATGAATTTAATGAATATTCTTATTTAAAAATGTGCTGTAAATGAAATTGTTAGTGGTGGTGTTGTTCCAAAACTTCATGAAATTTTGTAAATATTTTCAAAGAAGACACATCATACCTAAACGAGGCTCAAGGCCGTATAAGAGAACGAGGCTGACCTGGATCAACCTGGATATAGAAGCGCATATACTTCAATTTCCAGGTAATTTCTATGATACAGGGTAGGTTCAGTCAGGGTAAATATATACAAGAGTTATACGTGTTGAGTTGCAATACATTCTCTACTTGTCTTGTCTCTATCCAATGCTCGTCATGATTCAGTGGCATGTGCTGCCTTGCCATCTCAGCCTGTCCGTTTTTCTGCCTCACCCTCTCACTCTATCTTTGGCTTTCTAACTATCTTCCTCCCCTGCCTCTTTCCTGTCTCTGTCTGTTCAACTTTGACTTATAACATTAATGCAACCTACCTAATGCAATAATAATGCAACCTGCTTGTGGATTCTCAAATTTCATGTTTTTATGTGCATTTTTTTAGAAATTGGCATTCAGGGTAACTACGTGTATAATTGTCAGTCATGTTGCAAGAGGAGGAAGACACCACAGTTCTGCTGGGCAGCAGCTGGGATGATCAGACAGCAGAAGAGGACAACATTGAACACTTTGGTGAGTATTATTATTGTGTAACAGAAGCAAATCTTTTTGTTAATGCCCTGAATCATTGTCACCATTTTACGAGCATTTGCTGATCATTTTGAGCATTACAAATCATAGATCCATTGCAAAAAACAATTTCGGGAAAGTGAACTATTCCCTTTAAGCTATCTTCCCGTAGCTAATAAACGCTGGTAATGCCGAAGCATAAATAAATAGCGGCATCTTGGGATTGGCCTTCCCAGCAAGTATGATTGGGTGGCGGTGACTGGGGTCTGGGCATTCTGAAAGGTTGGGCCTCGCCACTTTGTAGCAATCCTGGCGTTTTTGAGGTCGTCATAGTCAGCGATAGCTGATATGATACTCATGCAATGTAACTGAATACCTCTCAGTCCAGACTGCATGAAAATATGTTCATATATGCCGCTTTTAAAAATTTCCATAGGCCAAATAAAAAGCTAGTGCTCAGCGCTCGATTGGGGTGAATCTCGATTGGTGAATCGCGCGATCTCGATTGCTGGATCGCTGCAATCGATGCAATCCTCGCCACCTGGACTGCCAAGCAAAAACAATGTCGAAATTTCAACAAGAGCTCGTCAGTGCAGAGGCATTCAGCGCGTGCGCGGCGCGGTGCAGATTTTTCATAGTGTAGTATGGATTTTGAGTGAAGCGGTGCGGGCCCTAATGTCAATGTGGCATCGTGGTCAATGGCTGTGCTGGCGCATAGCTGTTCAAGCAAATCTTGTGCCGGAGACACTAATGATGTATGGGGTTGGACACTGGACAGCCAAACGTCAGGTCCCGTCTCCGACACTTCGGCCCCGTAGCTAGTGTCGGGTTCCGGGTGTTGAGTGTTCCGGCTCTAATCGAACTTCAGCACCCAATATCTACGAGACGCCTGACGGGATGGACTGCTGTTCGTCGGAACAGCCGGCAGCCGCAGTCAGCTGAAGTCAGGCAGTGCGACGGACCGTGTCCGGTATTCTGGGCACTTTTAATTCATCCCGATACCCCAGAATTTGCTAATAGTATGGCAGACGTCAGAAACGCCCCCGCGACGAGCTCACGGGCCGTGGCCTCGTCGGCTCGTCCATTCAATACATTTATTCTTCCAAATGCATCAAAGTCTTACATTTGCTTATTTATTCGTCCTGTTAGATGGTCAGACGTGGAAAAACAGAACACTGACTAGACTGCGACGACTGGGACTGTGTCGCACATCTGTGCCGTTCGCTATGATATTCCGATGCGATACGGTAGCTCGGCCCACACACCACATGTGCGTGTATTCATCGTCTCACCCTTCCACCTGCCACACACCGACGCCGACAGGGATGAATCAGATGACACTGCTGACACAGATGACACCTTTATCAAAGATGATACTGCTGACACAGATGACACCTTTATCACAGATGATACTGCTGACACAGATGACACAAATGACATAGCTGACACAGATGACACTACTGACATAAATAACATAGCTGACACATATGGCACTGCTGACACAGCTGCTACCCGCCTCTGCACTGCAGCTTCCCTTCCACCCTAACCCTCCTCCCTCCCTCCCTCCCCTCTGCAGGCGCGGAGCTGAACGGCGCTGCCGCCGAGCCGTCCCGCTCGGACGGGCCACCCTCCCCCGGTAGCGGCGGCCACACCTCGGCGCTGGTACTGGCCGCCTCCCTGGTGGCGGCCACCGGTGGTCTGCTGTTCGGATACGACGTCGGAGTGATCAGCGTGGCTCAGCTGCAGCTGCAGAAGCAGCTCGGCCTCAGCTGTACAGCCCGGGAGGCGGTCGTCAGCTGCATGATGGCCGGAGCGCTGCTGGCGTCCATGCTCGGAGGTGAGAGGGAGGATGGTGACATGCAGAGGGATTTGTCTCGGTGGTCAGAGGGAGAGTGGTGGCAGGGGGATTTGATGTTGGAGGTCAGAGGAAAATGATGCGAGGGAAGGGATATATTTATATCTAAGGTTAAAAATAATTGGTCAGAAAATGGATCCAAGGAAGAAATGATGCCGAGGATGCCGGTCTTATTTTCGAAACTGAACAATGCAGTTCGTTTTTTTAAAGCTTCATCCTTTTATCACGTTTTCTTACGTATAATTTAGAGAGTGTAGGTAAAGAATGTCCGTGTACATTTTATTTGTCTTCTTTCGCCCAGTTTTGCCCTATTTTTCGCCTACTGTTTTGCGCGTGGCATCCGAGCCACGTTGACACGATTCCCCCCGGCAGGAATCATCATCGACTCGGCGGGCCGAAAGTTCACCATCATCGTCAACGCCATTCTGTTTGTTATCGGTGCGTCGATGTTGGCCGGCGCCAGCAGTCTGCCGGTGCTGCTTCTGGGAAGGTATGTTGTGGTGGCCAGAAACAGCCGGCGTTTAACGATTATTGCGGAATGCGGACAGCTCTGTTGCTAGCATTGCTGTACATTTGATAAGGTAACATTTCGGATGGCTGGTAACATTTTGTTTCATCGATGTGTTCCGTACAAAAGCTTTATTATTAATTGGCATAATATTCGTCTGAAATGTACAGATGTTATCGATTTAGTTTTTTTCCCCAGCTCATGGTGTACTTAATGCGCGTCGCTATCATGGGCCGCTCCCTGTCATGTATTCAATAATGTCGCAAGCCGTTTCCGCATTCCCGTTACCACGATCGTGATCTGAACGGGTGGGAGTGTTGCCATCTTACTTTCACCTCCTTTTCATCTTCCCTTTCGTTCCCTGAGTGCTGAGCGATTTTATCGTATGCCACCTATAATTAGGTATCGTATTATTTTCTTCGCACCATTCGAATGGTGCGAGGAGAATACATTCTGAGGTCATTTTGTTTTTACGGTTTGTATTTTCTCCCCTCTCCGTTTCCAGACTGGTGGTGGGTTTCGCGGTGTCTAGCCATCCCCCTGTCCGTCCCCAGGCTGGTGGCGGATTTAGCCGTGTTTTACATCTCGATGTCCCATTCCCAGGCTGGTGGTGGGTTTCGCCGTGTTTTACATCTCGATGTCCCATTCCCAGGCTGGTGGTGGGTTTCGCCGTGTTTTACCTCTCGATGTCCCATTCCCAGACTGGTGGCGGATTTCGCCGTGTTTTACGTCTCGATGTCCCATTCCCAGGCTGGTGGCGGATTTCGCCGTGTTTTACCTCTCGATGTCCCATTCCCAGGCTGGCGGCGGATTTCGCCGTATTTTACCTCTCGATGTCCCATTCCCAGGCTGGTGGTGGGTTTCGCTGTGTCACTGTCGGCCATTAGTGAGTGTATCTACATCTCGGAGATCGCTCCGGCACACCGGCGCGGCATGCTCGTCTCGCTGAATGAGATGGCCATCACCGTCGGCTTTCTGGCGTCGTTCCTCGCCGGTTTTGTCTACGTGGATGTAGAGAACGGCTGGAGGTAGGCGGCGGCGTATTGGGATGGGCGCTGGATTGTTCTCAGTTTATAGCGTGATCAGATAGCGGCACGTCCTGTTTATATCTGGAGAGTTTCAGTCTGAAGCGGTGTCTGGTACGAGTATTTGTTTCTAGTAAACACTTGATAAAGTTCCAACAGCCGAATCTGTTTATTTTTCTGCCATTCATGTTATTTTCACATCTATAGTCTGTTTTTCGTATCTTCTACCTTCACTCAAAGACGGTAAACTCTCTAATCACGTGCTCCAGCGAACATCTAATTAAATCAACACCGGTGCAAAGTCAATTTTTATCTCGAACGCAAGATCGAACGTCTGTCCCCTTGGTCCCCTTGGCCTATCCCGTTAATCAAAATGCGATGTTCTTTGTCAAGTGAAATGCAGTTGCATAAAAAACGTTACATCATATTTTAATTCTGGCAAAATTATCCCTTTCTAATTTCATTATGTTTTCAAACAACAGAAGGGCAATGGCCTTGGTCTCAGACAAGACAAAATGATCGTAACGTTTTCTTTCAACGTTTCAAAGCAAAAGAAATGTGGGTTAGGTGACTGAAATAAGGCGGTGAAGAAGGTGCACAACCAACGAATATCGCCAGAATAAAGAACTTACTTCCTTGGATACCAGAAAGAAAAGTGTTGAAGGCGCGGAGAAACACCGTCGGTGGTGGCACAGCTCAACTCAATCATGCTTTCAGCGCAATATAATACGAAAAATGCATACGTGGGTGTTATTGTTGTTATTACCTGCATTTGTGTATCATAATATAAGCCCTAAGGCGTTGGTGATTGCCAGCGGTCACTCAAAAGGTCATGTTAGATGATAAAGATCACCAGCAGCTTTCGACAATACCTAATAGCTGCTAGAACTAAAGATGTTTCGACGGCGCTGTAGTTCAATCGGTTGACAAGGTTTGGTAAGATTTGTCAAAACATGTTGAGCTCGGGAGTTTTTTTAAATTAATGACCTTCAGCGGCCTTCACTATTGACCTCAGTAAAATGCGGTATATACCTACTATATACGTATACTGCTGAAAGTAATTGTTGAGAGCTATCGATTCTTGCCCGTGTCTTCGCACCTTTCTTACTTTTCGGGATGATCGCGTGAGGCAGATAGGAAAATAATAAGATGAAGCAAATCTGCCTGGGGACCCCCCAAGCGGGCGTGGGCTAAGATAATTTTGTTATTCGTCGGTGTAAAAGTTATCGCAACGTAAATAAAGCAAAACATAAATTAAGCATTTGAAAAAATATAGGTAACACATTTAGTTTCTTTTACCCCATGACAAGGAAGTGCTAGCTTTAAACTATTCTTTAAATGTTCTCAGCAAAACGTCCTTGAGTATAGGTCGGTAGTCGGTACCAATAAACCGTGGTAACGATAATACAAGCGATACTCTAGCTTAAAGGTTTCTTTTCCGATTTGAACTGCGCAGCGAAGGCGAACTCCAACACGAGCAACAAACTCCTGCAATGAGTGGTGGGCCATGCGGCAAAGATTTGAAAACTATACCCTAAAAACGTGCTGGAGGAACAAAGCATCTTTGAGTGAAGGTAGAAGATACGAAAAACAGACTATAACCGTAGATATGTATATCGGATACCATATTTGTGCATGCTCATTGGCATAGCTAAGCATGAAACATAACTGGATCCATCGTCTGCACCTTGTGTTTAACCGCATTCCTCCCCTTCTGCGTTCCCGTGCGACCAGGTACATGTTTGGCATGGCCGTGGTGCCGGCCGTCTTCCAGGCTCTGGGCATGCTGTTTTTGCCGCGCACGCCGCACTTTCTGCTGCTGAAGCGGCAGGAGGACAAGGCGGAGAAGGTGCTTCAGGTGAGTAGTCAGTAGAGGCGCGTCAAGGTATGAAATAAAGTCTGAGTCAGATAGCAGGGCGGTGACGGAGGCTGCAGAAAGCCTCCCTGTAGGACTAGTTGCACCTCTTTAGATTGGGCTGTTTGTACCGACACAGCACACGCCTCTAGGCATCACTGCGTCTGCCATCCGAGTCAACTGTCATGTAACTTATCAACGATTGGCGCCCAATGTTAGATACACGGTTTTGCAGAAGTCGTGACAGTTTTATCCATTCTGTCAATGCGAAGGCAAAAGCGATTACGTCGGGTCAGAGGTCATTGCCTCAGGTCTGAGGTCACCCTAACGTAATCGTGTTTGCCTTTGCACGGCAGCATACATGCTTAATATTTTCAGCTTGCCTTCCTCCCCTCTCCCCCTTCCACAGCGTCTGACGGGTCAGCAGGACGTCCGTCAGCGGCTGGCGCACATCCGGCTGGCGGTGACCGAGCAGCGCGACGCGCGGTGCTCGCAGATCTGCGCCGCCGAACACAACATGGCCGACCGTATGTTCATCGGCATGGGCCTGGTGTTCTTTCAACAGTTCACCGGACAGCCCAACGTAATGAGCTATGCGCCCACCATACTGCAGATGGTCGGATTCTGCTCGGACGCCGCCGCTACCATGGCAACCGTGGGCCTCGGCGTCGTCAAGGTAACGTGGGGGTGGCAGCAGAATGCATGGCTGTACCAGGAATGAATAAGATATTTGATGGAACCCATGCACCAATTTAGAGTTAAGACTCTTACATTTTGCGACGCATTTTACAGTTTTTTTTTTTTTTTACCGTCACTTATCTGGAAGATCACCAGTCACCACCCCTTGACCCTTGGCAATGATGCTGTGTTTATTAATTAAATTTTACCATTCTTATTTTTTTTTTTTTACTTCTGTTGAGTTTTACTTGTAGCTTAAGTTTGTATGCTTAAAGCGACGAATAAAAACCCAATACTGAGGTCCCGCCTGCATCAGATCGCCCCTCAGTTCTAAGTTCTAAGTCCACCCCCACTTACCCGCCCCTCAGCCCTGACCCCCTACCCTTCCCCCGTTGTGCAGGTGGTATCGACAGTGTGCGCTCTGCTGCTGGTGGACCGCGCCGGCCGGCGCACCTTCCTCCTAGCCGGCAGTCTGCTGATGGCGCTCTGCCTGCTCGGACTCTCAGTCGCCACCTCGGTACAGCAGGTCGGCCTGCCGGAGGGGGCCGTCTGTAAGCCGCCCGGCCCCGTCGGAGCAGCCACCGAGCCGCCGGCCGTACAGGCGTCTCTGACTCTGGAGCCGCTGCCCACTCCGCTGCCGCTCCGCGCGGGCCCGCTGGACGGAGCAGGGTGGCCGGGAGTGACGCCGGCAGCAGGGCCAGTCGTGACGACGCCCGTAACGCGAGTGACGACGGCCGGTGTGACACCAACTCCAACATCCGCGTCTGTGATAGACGCGACGGATGTGAACTCTCCTCCAGGCGCCAGTGGCGGCACGACATCCCCAACTATAACTTCAACACAGCCAGTTACAACACCCAGTCCTACCGCCACTCCTACTCCAACCCCTACCACCCTCACACCATCCAACTCCTCTGACGCGGCCTCCAACGCCACCTGGTGCGGGGCGGACCCCGACCAGCATCCGTCTCTCCCCTACCTGGCGTTTGCCTCACTCATGGGCTACGTGGCGGCGTATGCGTTCGGGTTCGGCCCGATGACCTGGCTGGTGCTCAGCGAGATCTACCCTCCGGCGATCCGCGGACGTGCGGTAGCTGTAGCCACCTCGCTCAACTGGCTCTCCAACATGGTCATATCGGCTACGTTCCTGCAGGCAGTTGGTGAGTGGTCCGCGGCCAAGGGTTGGTGTCCGAGGGGCTTGGGTGACGGAAGGTAGTGTCCAAGGGGACTGAGGTGCTGGGGAGGCAGTATCAAAACTGACTCAAAGGTGACGGGAAGTGATGTCCAGCTGACTAAGGACTGGGACTGGCGAGTCGTGGAGTCGACCTGACGGACATACAGTCCAGGGATGAGCTTTGTTCTGGGGTGCTGGGGCTTATTAGCGGAAGATATTTTCTATGGAGCTGGCCGGGCTTTTTTAAGAGTCCGGCCTATAAAAACCATGTAGGCCCTTTGACCCCTTGCTGTCTGTATGGCACTTCCCTTCCGTTCACATATGTGTTATCTCTGAGCGTTGCATTTCCCGCTAATTATCTCCAAGTGACGCATTCTCCGTTTCTTTACAGAACTGCTGTCTGTCAGTGGCACATTCCTGGGCTACGCGTTGCTGTGCCTGATCTCAGCCTTCTTCGTATTCTTCTCTGTGCCAGAGACACGAGGCAAATCCCTGCACGAGATCTCCGAGGAACTCAGCAAAAAGTGAGTTGGTGCCCGTGCTGTATTTTCCCGAAATGAGTGAGTGAGTGACATGCCCGCCTACAAAGCGGGACAGTATTATACATGATAGGCTAATACCTATAATGCTAGATGTGTCGTTTCCTTTTGCCATTACTCGAGCTAATTTTGCAAACTTTTATGACTGGTCTCAGCCTTCCATGAGGAGTAAGTCGTCATGCGAAGTGTTTGACAGCTCTCGAGTGGTGGTTTTTCTTTTCTTTTCTGCTTGTAGGTCTTGAAGAAAAACAGTTATCCTCAAATTGTCCGCATAATTGAAAGTGAATATAGCTAGAATTATGTTCTGTAGCTCAGCCGCAAAAGTCAGTCGTTGGGATATTTTATTTGACGCATCCACATTCGACTGCCAAGCTATTACAGCAAAAGTATCCCAATCCCGCTCTAAACAGCTTCTGTAAGTCGAGCCGTCCTCAGCCAGCCGCGTTTCCCTCTACCTCTGCTGTATGCCCTCTGCGTGCGTCCCGTTTCCATGGTAACCTCGGCGGCCGCCCCGTCAGGCGGCTGATATGTGCGCTGCTCTCCTGTCTCGGTGTCGCTGGCTTCCGACAGAGTGAGGCCGCGGCCACCAAAGAGCTCTGAGCGAGGTGACGCTCTTAGAATTGTCCGGGGGAAGTGTGCCGTGCAGGGTTTAAAGTTTAAACAACACAGAGTGGCGCCAGCACACGGATTTGATGCCACAAAGTGATACGGGAGTTGTGGATTGACACACGGATTGGACCGGATTGAATGCAGTTTGACGGATGACAGCATGGTTATGTGATACAGTTGAGATTGTCGCAGCAGCCGTGATGGATGCACCAGAAATGCCCTGTGGCGTTTACGAAGGTTCTTTTTGTGGATATCATTCACAGATCGTATGTTTTGAAGTGCTCCTTTTTCGTGTTGCTGAGAGACCATGGACTTTGCAATGCTTGTATGCGAGTTGAATTGTTGAAGTTTTTATTACGTTAAACATTTTTTTTATGGTTTCATTGTACCGCGTTTACATGCGAGTGTTCCAATTCTTTTTCGGTATTGCATCGAACTTCATATTTTGAGTGATGCTTCCATTTATGTATGTACATAATTTGTGTTTGTGAATTGGCACAACGCTTTAACCCAGTGTTATGGATTCTTTCATTTGGATGGATTCATTTCATTTCATGGATTCTTCGACATTTTTATTTTCGTCTTAACAAGTCGATTTTTTCAACCTATTATATCATTATACCGTCGTATTGTAAAATTGCGTCACAACTCACAAATCTCACTTATAAGTATTGAGCGTCACAACTCACGAATCTCACTTCTAAGTATTGATGTAGGCCTTGACAGGTATATTAGCAGGTGATGATTATAGGAGCGATTGCTGAAGAGCTACATGCACGTCAACGGCATTGTTGACAAGCTAGATTTCACCGAGGCTTTTTTACCGAGTTTTACCGAGATTTTACCGAGACTTGTAGAAACATATTGCATATTCATATAAACATATTCAAGAAACATATTGAAACCCACCAAAACCGACCCGTCTCGGCTGACCCGACCTGACCCGACCCGACCGCACTGATCCGACATGACCCTGCGCCCGTTCCAGGTCCCTGGACGCCCGCGCTCGCTCGCAGCTGCGGCGGCTCTGTCGCATCAAGAAGCACAGCCGTCCGGCGCAGCACTACGACTTGGTGGCGGCGGGCAGCTCGTCAGCTACCTCCACCGCGCTGGTGGTGCCCTCGTAGCGTCCGTCCGGCCGTCCGTTCCGGTCCGCCGTCCCTCCCAGGTGCGTCCCGTCCCGTCCCGCCCGGTTCCAGTCTCGTCCGAACGGTCCCCGCCCAATCCGGCCGTCCGTGCTGCCCCCAGTCCTGTGTATGTGTGTGGTACACGGCTCTATCTGGTACACCAGCCAGGGGGCTTTGTGGTCTGTTTTCTGACAGACTTATGTGCAATTATTCTTTGAACAGGCTTGGGCCTAATCGTCACAGCCAGTCAGCATTAGTCTCCACTCACATCGCCCGATGTTCTCCCGGTAACCTTGCTCTTACCTCGCTCTTATCGCCCCCTCCCCTCGCCCACTGCTTGCTCTACACACGAACATGTCTCGCAGAGTGAAACAGCCTTTAGAGCGTTAGGTTAGAGGCCCTCCGGTAGGCGGCGCTGGAGTCTGCGGTCCATAGATGAAACTCCAGTGATCTCGCCCGGTTGATAGTTCAGAGCTGGTTGGTTGATCGTAGACGCTGACCCTTGGTCGTTCGGGGAGCTGCAATCACGAGACAGGCTCTGTGAGTTCGGTTAATTGATGCATTCACGGCCGGTCGACTGCTCCAGTAGACAGGATCTCCACTGTCCTGAGCTGTGGCCTGCCGATACTGCAGCAATTCGTTATACGACCGCTAGATGTCAGTTGAGTCGTTGGGTTAACAGCAACTGATAGGAGGTAGCCGTGTGTTGGACTCTACTGGGCCGAGCCGGGGGTGAAACTGCGGTGTTATTGTAACAAAGAGCTGTGATGTTCGCTCGCAAAGGCCTCTCGTCGCGTCCCCTGTGGAGGGCTTATTCGCTCCATGAGCAGGTGCCGTATCATTCAGGACTCAGTTCGACTCAAGACGTGTTTCGGATGAGGACAGCTCTCCGCGCAGAGGAATTGTGACTTGTGATAGTTTTAGATTCCATAGATAGTCCAGTTTTCTGCTTAGGTGACGGCTCATCTGCCAGTGAAACAGTTATTGTGCAATCTATAAAAGTAATAGTGCCATGGAGTCAGACATTGACGGTAAATGTTGTTTGCACGTTGTGTCAACTGTCAAGTATATACGCTCATACGGCATATTTTCTAATGTAAATAATGGTTGTCATGTGTAACCGAACAAGGGCATGATTCAGAGGCATTCCCGTAAAGACATTCCGCAATATATTCTACCCACTGTGCTTAGTTTGATGTGCGTTCACAATTTTATGACGATGCAGCAAAAGCTGCTGATGATCAGATCAGGGTGTTTCCGATTGGTGGACTGTCAATTGTCACAAATGACAGTTGCGCGTTGCAATAGGGGTTGTGTAGCTGTGTTGTGGTGTTTCCAGCGTTGTGACATGTGCAACTGCCACTTCTTCTGTGGTGTGAAATAGTGGTCGTGTTACTGGGACCAAGTTATGAATGTTCAGTGTGTGCCAGTTATACATTGTGATAGCGTTGTGAAACTGCCTCACCTTTGTGAAAAACGTCACTAAGCCGTGATTGGCCTTCTAAACACGACAGACGTATGTGTGCACTGTGATTTAACTTCTTCAGTGAGCCACTTGGTCCGACTTTGCAGCCATTCCAGTTTAGGTGCTGTACGCAAGTCTCCATATATATATAATTTGTTTACCCAGCCTTCATAACATAATACTCGGCATTAATATCAAACAGGCGCGTTATTCGAAGATTGCTGATCATTGACCATGAAATGCTGTGACTCTGTTGTCAGTTGTGGACATGCACTGAATAAATGCATTTGTAACGTTCTAATTATTTTTAGATATGAGAGGGTATGTGCCATACGTTATTTTTAGGAATGGGGAAGTTTATGTCATGTTTGTGCGGTCAAGTTATGTCGTATACTATTTTCTTGGAAGTATCTGATGCTATCGGTCCATTAAACATTCCTGTATTGCTTATACTTGGCTCAACTGGTTTGCGTCGAATGTCCACAATATTTTTAAGGTTATACTTGTCGCTATTTTGTATCGCTTTATCACTCCATGCACTTACCTTGTCTGATTTTGTGTTTGACGTTTTTTGTATCGCTTTATCACTCCATGCACTTACCTTGTCTGATTTTGTGTTTGACGTTTGTCACTTGCTACTAATGCTATTACTTTTAACACTTCTCAAATGACAATATATGAAGGGAAAGGTTTGTTTATTTGTTTACCGCCTTCTGCCGGCGCCTCGTCCTGCTGCCTCGTCTTTTCAAGGACACGATCCCGACAGTCCCGTCATGACGAACCGATCAAAGTAGCCTGTTCACTAAGTAGCCTGTTGTGCCATCCAACACCTGACTGGTGGTCCCGTGAGGGCAGTGGATGTTGCCTTCAGTGGACGGGCAGGGATAGGGGCTCATGGCTTACCCGACTAACGGGCATGGCGAGCGATCATCGGAAAACCCGACCGGGTCTGTTCTCGGTCTGTCTCTGTTGACCGCCTGTGTCTACCCTTTGTCGACGGCACACGACGTACCGGACTCTGGTGCCCTGGTCCGCACTGCGCTGACCGTGTAACGATATCCTTCTGCTGAAGAATGTGACGCGACATCCAGCGCTGTCACGTCACGTCTTCTGCCCTGTGCGCTATCCTCGCCTCCCGCTCTGTCAAAGTGGCTAGGGCGTGACTAGGACGGTGACTAGAACGATGGGTGTGCCCCTCTTGAGGGCCGCAGGGCTGCTTTAGGTCGGGTGAGGAACGGCAATGCAAACAAACATGTTCCACCTGTTTTGTGATACACATGCATTGCACAAACCGGATACGATTCGTAGTTTTTCTTTCTTAGCGAGTTATCTTGTCGTCTAGTACTAACTCATCTTTTCGCGTCATAACCACTCTTCGCCTCTTCTCCAATCTGCCCCCTTCCCTAATCACAATCCCTCTTTCCCAGTGTTCGTCCGTGTCTCCTCCGCTCGGCGATCGTCCTGCCACCTGTCGGCGGCGGCGGGAACCTTCCTGCGCCCGCCGCTGCTGCCCTGCCGTGGCCCGTCAGAGTGCGGCGGAGAGGCGTGGGGGCGGGCGGTGCCGTCGGGTGTGTGGTGTGCGGACCGAGCTGCGTAGCGGTCACCGGAGCCGCCACTGAGACACCCAGGTGAGTCCCGCGCCGGCTGAGGCCTGGCTGCTGATCGGGAGGGATTGGTGTGCTGGCAGGGTCTGTAAGGGAGGGGTGGTCTACGGGTTACGGACAAAAGTACGTATCGCTAAAGTACGTAGGACAAAAGTACGTAAGCAAAAGTACGTAGGATTAAAGTACGTATCGCAGAAGTACGTACAGTATAAAGTACGTATGGACAAAAGTACGTCAGGGACAAAAGTACGCATCGCAGAAGTACGTACAATATAAAGTACGTATGGACAAAAGTACGTCAGGGACAAAAGTACGCATCGCAGAAGTACGTACAATATAAAGTACGTATGGACAAAAGTACGTCAAGGACAAAAGTACGTATCGCAGAAGTACGTACAGTATAAAGTACGTATGGACAAAAGTACGTCAGGGACAAAAGTACGTATCGCAGAAGTACGTACTGTATAAAGTACGTATGGAGAAAAGTACGTCAGGGACAAAAGTACGTATCGCAGAAGTACGTAGGGTATAAAGTACGTATGGACAAAAGTACGTCACGGAAAAAAGTACGTATAGCTAATGTACGTAGGGTAAAAAGTACGTATGGACAAAAGTACGTCACGGACAAAAGTATGTATCGCAGAAGTACGTATGGTATAAAGTACGTATGGACAAAAGTACGTCACGTACAAAAGCCTACGTATAGCAAATGTACGTAGGGTATAAAGTAGGGTAGCCTTGGGCAAGACGCCCCAGATAATTTATTTCGCTACATAGGTACCTTCTTTTGTCTCACATCACCTGGAAGGCCAAATTTGTGCTCAATGTGTTCTTTGGACATTTTACTTTAAATTCCATCCCTCAAATTCATTCACTTATGATCGGACTCCCAGCTAGGAAGTGCTTTGTGAAGCAACTGCAAATGGGGCATTTTGCCCCAACCCCAGGGCAAAACGCCCCACGGCCTGAGGCAAGAAGCCCCATACACTAGATTAACCCTCGCGGGCCCGGGGTGGCGTTTTTCGCCCCCCCCCCCCCTCCTGGCAAATATTTGCGATAGCTCCCGAACGCTTAGGGATAGGAAAACGAAATTTTCAGTACCTTTTCTTCCATCAATTTGGCATCTTCTGAAATAAAAAAATTGGACCTAGCCCCATTGATGACGTCACAAAGTCGATTTTTCTAGACCCCTGCACGGCAAACTTCGGTGTCACAGACGCGAACTTCAAATAGCTGCTAAAAATAGAGTTTTAAAGATAAAGACAAATTACGAGCATGGTTGTGTAGCATTTGACCTAGACAAAAATACAAAAATAGTTTTAGTGACCTGAGATCAGAGGTCAGGTCAACGACCCCGAGCTGTGGTTTTAGTTTTTCGCAAATAACTTCGACAAAAATGGTCCTAGAGCTACGGCAGTGGTACCATCGCATTTGTCTTGTCAAGCTGCGTCGAATGATATATATTTTGTTTGGAAAAGGGCAAGTTTTATGTTGACCTCATGTGACCTCGAATGACCTTTGGTTGACCTTGACACATCAAAAGTCGTTTATGGTGGATTCGTACCCGCTGATCACGAATCTGGCATCTATTTTCCTCTAAGCCTTTATTTAGAGCCTCCGGATGGCAAAACTGTCTTATTTACCTATTATTACTAACTTAAATCAGTGAAATAGTCTCTAGCAAGCAGGGTTGTGCTTGACTCATGAGTCGAGTCAAAAATTTGACTCAACTCTGACTCAAATGAGTCAGATTTGAGTCGAGTCGGATAAATTGTTGAGCTGTTGAGTTGAGTCAGAGTTGAGTCGGACAAAAATATTAAGGCGCTGAGTTGAGTCAGAGTTGAGTCAGTAAAATAACTTTTGACATTGAGTTGAGTCAAACATTTAGGAATATGAGTCAGCTGACTCAACTTTCCAGAAACAAGCTTTTTCATTCCCCATCCCCGCTTAGCAACTTCGCCCTGGCCCTGCTGCCGGACTTTTTCACCCCCCCCCCCGCTCAACAGCTTTTTTTATCTGAGTCAATTTTGAGTCAACTCACTTGACTCAACAAAAAATTTGAGTCAAGTTTGAGTCGACTCATATTTTCATTGAGCCGCTTGAGTCATGAGTCAAGTCAAGGGAAAAATCAGCTCCTTGTTTGAGTCAGAGTTGAGTCAGGGCTTTCTGAGGTTGAATGATGAGTCGAGTCGGCAAATTTTTTTGAGTCGAGCACAACCCTGCTAGCAAGGACTCTCTTCTGTGACCTTGACCTTTGAGCAGCCTTGTATCGTAAGATGAACCACAAATAGGGACCTGATAAGCCTCAAAACATTTCAAAACATCTTGGAAGTTGACTCACAAGATGTACGAAAAAGTGTAAGTTTGAGGTCAATTTTGAGCATGACCTTGACCTTGACCTTTGCTGTTGAGTACATTTTCGGAATTCTCAGATTCTCTTCTTTCGTTTGACACACAATTTTACCGGTTTGATGCATCCTACCGTCCTCTAGGACGCTCACTTTGAGATCACTACACATGTGCCGGTTTTTGCCTTTGACCTTGACCTCTGACCTTGAAAATTGACCTGAGGTCAAACATTTTGGGTGCTTTAGAAGCGTCTCGTAAGGACCTTTCGTTTGGTATTGCTTTTGTTTGCGTAGCTCTCTTATTTACGGAGTTAGACAGGGGGCGAAAAACGCCCCTCCCCGGGCTGCGGTGGTTGGAATTACCCCCCGGGCCCGGCCGGGTTAACAGAAGAGAGGATCTTTCCCCAGAACCCTGCCAGTTCCGAGAAACATCGGTGAGGCGTTTTACCTCGGCGGGGAGACTTGCCCCGGTCTACCCTACGTGTGGACAAAAGTACGTCACGGACAAAAGTACGTATAGCAAATGTACGTAGGGTATTAAGTACAGAGGTCGATAAAATGCTTGGAGTTGCTCCAACGAACATCTTAGTCCCATCACTGTCTCCAACTTAGCCCTCGCCTGGCGGGGGGGGGGGGGCAGCCTCCCTAAGTTTTTTTTCGCGAATAGCGTAAAAGTTGGCGTCGCGTAGCGCCGCAAAATTTGGCACAACGTCTGGGAATGAGCCTTTTGCTACCTATCCTGAAAATTCACTGCCATCCGCCGCGTCGGCACACCGGTATCTCCTCACCTTCTCCCCATACGGCCTTGATTCCCCAACTCACACCATCACACTACTGCATACGGTGACCGGTCGCACGGTGGATCTGAATGCCTACGTTTTCGCGCCAAAGTCTGAAGCAACTAACGATTATCATCAGCTTAGAAATGTTGAAATTTAGCATTTTAAAGCTTTTAATTTAAAAGTTTATATGTGTGCTTTAACGCACTTGTCTTTATTGATTGAGAAAAGAGCGGACTTTTTATCATATTACCTAATACGAAGTAACGCAATCGAAGTGTGATTTCGGTCCACTGTGCGTTTTCAGGCGCGCTCGATAAAACACCCAGGCCTGGAGAAAGTTGGAAGGGTGATTTTCTGATCCTCCTCACCACAAAATGACCCTAAGCGAAAAAATGCCCGCAGGGCGCTGCCAACGCGTGCCAGCGGCCCTGCTAGTAAGGGCGAAAATCAATGTATGTGTATGCGGAGCACACCCTTAGCGCTACGATGGCTCCTTGGAGACACCTGGAGAAACCTCTGCCGGCAGAAGGGTCAGGTCCCTCGCAGACGGCGCGGCACGGCGGGAGCTCAGCGGGTGGCCTAGCCGGAAAGAGGATAAAAATAGCCGACTGGCCCGACCCAGTGAGGGGTGAACGAAGGGTGACCAGGAGTGAATGAGGGAACATACACGCGGCACCGAGCAGCCGATAACAGCACCGGACGATTAGTAAGTCATAAGTCAATGCTGTACTTTAGGCGTAAGGAAGCATCCATGTAGACGGGCGGACTGTCTCCAGCTCTTCCAAGTATTGCTAATATCTTGCTCCAACGAGCGTTGGCACGTTGGAAGTTTTATCGACCACTGATTAAGTACGTACCCCACCCTTGGGTTAAGTTGATCAATGTGTAATACCTTTCTTATTCTTTATTTAATGAGCATTTGTTACAAGGCATAGCAAAATTTCTCGATGAGTAAATT